CTCAGCTTCTTCCCCCTCATCCCTATCCTGCTGCTGGTTGCACAGGGCAGCTCTCAGATACTCTGAGTTCACTAATTCTTGTGTTATTAAGGCTGAAAATCATGGCACTCTCCAGGGAATGGGTGTCCCCTCTGTGGAACTGCCAATCTGCCCTGTCCTGCTGAGTCACCGGGATGCTTTCCTTGGAAAGAAGGAAATGGCAGTTTCCAGAATGGCTTCTGTGACCCTGTTTGGTATTTGTTGTTTCTGTTACACCGAGAACCCAGAGAATGGTCTGACATACAAACACTCTGCAGGAAGCCTCCCTGAAACAATGCAGTGCTAACAACTGTTTTCCAAGAAAGAAGGCTCCATTTCCTCCTATTCATCCTGCCTGCCAGCTCCATGGGAAATTCCCTCGTGGTCTGGGAGGTTGGTGTTCCCCTTCACGAGGCTGCCTGGCACAAGGCCTGGGGATGCAGATGTCGTAGACTGAGTCATACTAAGAGTGTGGGGAGATCAGTGCCAGTAAATGACCACTCTGGATGCCAGCAGCTCTGCCCTTCGCTCTTCCCATCCCTCTGGGAGTCCTGCCTGGGATGCTTTCCATGCCATCCCATCTCACCCGAAGGGTCCCTCCCTGAGCAGCACTGAGACCTTTTAGCAGCAACACTCCTCAAGTGGGTGCAAAGCCTGGGAGACTTTCTCCTGTGCAGCCCCCAGAGCTGGTGGGATTCCTCAGGCTGATCTAAAGCCGAGGATTCTCTGTGGCTCAGCATCCTCTGAGCGTTTCTGATGGACCTGGACATGGGTATTTCCTCCTCCTCTTCAGCCAATGCCTCCCTGCCCCACAGCTCCAGAGGGAGCAGGAATTTCCATGTTTTCCCTTCCCTCATTAACAGCTGAGGGTTTGCCTATGCAGAATGGAGGAGATGTAAGGTTATGACATCATCTCTGTTTCTGGACAAAGCCTCGTGAAAATGGATAATGAAAATAATTCCTTTTAGTTTCTAAGGGGGAACTGGAGGAACAATTTTCCAAGGCCCCTTTTGAACGAAAAGGTTTATTTCAAAGAAGCAGGGATTTTAATGACTTTCAAAAAGCCATTTTCTTTGAGAAGAGCAGCCCTTTTGCTGGTTCTACCTGCCTATGGGCAGGGCAAGAGGAGCTGAGCTCAGCAGGGCAGCAGCCACGTGTCCATGGGGAGCACTGGCACCAGTGCCAATAATCCCCTGCCAGCCTGCTGCCATGATAAACAGTGATTTAAAAACTACTAACACAGGAATTAGGCTTAAGTTATGCCGTTTTGCTTAATTTCTCATGCAACCGCTTAGCGCTGGAAAAGCCTTCCTAAGTTTCATCCTTCATCTCTGTTGCTGAGCCCCAAAGGATGCAGGATGGAGCCAGGGACATTTCTTTGTGGAAGAATGACATGTTGGTGGCATTTAAGCCAGAACAGAAGTAAATTAAACATCTAGATCATAAAAGTACCAGAGGATGGTTTAAAACAGGCTTTTTGCAGCAGTGCATTAGTTGACTGTACAGCCTGACTGCGTAATGAGCAATATATTAATTTATAATTAGTGTAATACAGTGAAGCTCAGCAAATAGCTCTGTGCACTCTGGATAATTCATCAGCAGAAGAAGCAGCTCTTAATGGTTTCCAAGGTTTGCCTGTCCCCTGTAATTGGGAAGTTCGGAATTTATTGTTATTTCTTTGAAGGGATAATTTGATTGCAGCCACACATCTTTATTCCCTGCCTGCTCCTGCTGGAGTGCAGAGAAGCCTTTGGAGCATTGCTGCTCTGGGTACTGTGTGACCTCTCTGCAGGTAAGTGCCTCAGTGTTTTGCAGAGCAGATGACCTGGATTTGGTGCAGATTCCCGGAGGGTTTTACCCTCTGTGCTCTCCCTGCTGCAGAGCAGAGGGAGGGTGGCACCACCTTGTCACCACTTGACTTTTCCCCCTCTGCTGCTTCAGAATCTTCCATACCCCTTGCACGTCTCCCAGGGGATCTTCATTCTTAATTCTGCTCTCAAATTCCCCAGGAGCTCCTGGTCTCATATAACATCACCTGACAGTAGAAATACAGAAGGACGATAATAAGTGCGTGATAAAAAGGCCATTCAGAATTCATGGAGCCTTTGGGCAACTTATTTTTCAGCTGGGGAGCTCGGACACACGTCTTGGAGGATGAAAGGGGCAGGACTGCTCCCTGCCTGGGCAGCAATGCCAGGGCTCCAAGGAGATCCTCCCTCCTGGACTGCCGTGTTGGCAGGCTGGGAATCTGCACTGAAATTCCCTGTTGTCAGCAGAGTCTTCTGAAAAGGGAACAAAATCCCTCCGAGCTGGGTGCTTGGTGCTCAGACAGCCTGGAGGCACCGGGGCCTCCTCGGAGGAAGGGGATAAATAAACGTGAATCTGAATTCAGAGCCCCACTGAGAAGAGGGTGTGATAAATCTTCCCCAGGAATAAAATGTCAGTTCTGATTTTTCCTGCTTTAATAAAATAATTTGGATGCCTCTGCCTATTAGCAGCTGCAGATAAATTGATTGCACTGAGGATTTGAAGTCTTCTGGCATGTCCATCTGCTTTTGCATAACCATCTGCCCCAAACACTTGGCTTGTACCCCAAGCCCCAGTCGATGAGTTTTTTATTTCATCTGGAAGGCACAGAAGGGTTCCAGACATGTGACAGACACCTGTTCTAAGGGGAAATGATTTCTAGCATGGGAGCAGGATTCATCACTAAGGATACATCAGGGATCATTGCTAAGATTTTCTAGTGAAGTCTCTTTCCTTACCAAACTTATCTTTTTATGGTTGCTAAAAACTTGAGTCTCTCCATCCTTGAGATCACAGGCAGAGAACAGAGTGAGGCTGAAGGCTGCTCTGGACACTCAGTAGGAAGTCAGGATGATGATGATGAGGAGGAATTACTGTGTTTACTCCCATCAGAATTTAAATTAAAGCAGTTTTACTGAAGTCTTAATTCTTCCCCTGCATTTAAATGCTGTGATCTGGAAAGCAGCGAGTTTGTATTTCTGTATCATTGCATCAATAAAGAGCTGGGGTTTTGTAGGCTTCCTTAATAAATAATCTGGGCTAATTTAATTGGAATTTGGCTGGTGTGAAAAATAGTTTTGATTGCATTTGCTCTTGATCATTCCACTAAAACTTTGTGATGTGAAAGTAGCATGTTTGTATTTACTTATCACAGCACTAGAGACCTGAATTGGCAGCCTCTCGATCAAATTACCTGATGAATATAAACAGCAGATTTAATTTAGTTTCATATTGATTTTTGTCATTATTATTAAAACCCTCTGATCTGAAAAATGAGATGCTTGTATTTCCTTAATATCTTATTACTGGGGCTTGGGTTAATCTTGTAGAGCTTTTCCTTTTTTCTTTTGAGCAACCAAGTCTAACTAATTGGAATTTAACATATGGCAATTTTGACTCTATAAAAGGGGAAAAAGGAACTCAGTTTCTTTAGATAAAACAGCAAAGAAGCCTAATCTTGTCGTGGGCTGGGGTCCTCTCCCCTGGATCCCTGTGTGCTTTTGGGGGTGATTATTCCCCTAGGGAAGAGGTCAAGGTTGTGGGTCCCCCAGGGGCTGGTGGGTCACCTCAGGGCATCTGCCTGGGCATGGGGTGGCAGTGCCAGGAGAGGGGCAGTGCCCAGGGGAGGCTGCCAAGGGCCCAAACATGGCCAGGGCTCTCAGCAGAGCCCTTTCCAAGGACTGCTTTCCTGGGAAGGGAGCAGGGCGTTGCACAAAGGCTTCGTGGATCCCATGGAAAGCAAATGGCTGGGAGATTTGCAAACTGCCCACGTGTGGTTTGTCTGAACAGCTGCCGTCCTTGATCTGTAACTCAGATTGGCCTTGGGAATCATTCCATGCTTCTAGCTGAGTGGTGGGTTGGAAGGTCCAGGAGGAAATGGTGAGCTGCCTTCAGAAACCAAAGGCTTTCATCGATGTGCAAATGGGCTTGAACAAAGCAAAGAAAATGAGTGCATGTAACTCCAGCCTCTGTCTCAGCTGTGCTGAGGCTGCAGGTCTAACTCCTGGCAGCGATTGTGAAAATTCAACCTTTGCTCTTGCTGTTTGTTGGCGTTTTAAAGCCCTGTTGCTGCCTGTTGTGATGGGAGCAGTGTGAGCTGTGTCCTGGGGGGCACTGGGAGGGGTTTGTTGGGCCAGCCTGGAGCTGCTCTGGGGAAAGAACTGGCCCAGGCTGGTGCTGGGGTCCCCAGTGCCAAAGCGAGTCTCCTTCAGAGCCAGAGCCAGGTATTTCAGCAGTCCTTGGTTCCAGCAAAGCTGAGAGTTTTGGTGGGTTGGCACCAAACCCAGGCTCCCCCTTTGAGGAGGAGAAAGCTGCAGGAGTGGGTCCATCTGTCCATCTGTCCATCCATCCCCACACCATCCAGTCCCCCTCCAGTTTTTGGGTAAATGAGCTCTGACCAGGCTCATGCTTTCAGAGTGCCACAGCAGCAGGGCCAGCAGTCAGTCTGTCTGTCAGTCAGTCCGTCCGTCCCTCTGTCCATCCCCGCACCACACCGTGCCCCTCGTTGCTCGCAGGACCACCATCACCCCGTATTTTTGGGTGTTTGTTTGTTTGTTTGTTTGGGGTTTTTTTGGGCCGGGCTAAATAATTTTTTTCCGGTAAATTCTCTCTCTCTCCCTCTGCCCGTTCCTCCCCTCCCCGGCCGCCTTGACGGGCACCGGGGCTGACCGGGGCGGGGCAGCGCCCTCGCGGGCGGGGGCGGTGGCGGCAGCGGGTGGGCTCGGAGCGCAGCCGGTGCCGGTGCCGGTGCCAGCCCGGGCGTCGCAGGGCCGGTCCCGGGGCGGCGGCAGCAGCCGGTGCCGGTGCCAGGCGGGGATCGCGGGGCCGGTCCCGGGGCGGCGGCGGCAGCAGCAGGCGGCGCTGCGCCCCTTCTCGCCGGCACCGGGGCCGCCGGGCTCCGCTCGGCTCCGCGCCCGCCGCCCCCGCCCAGCCCCGCACCGCCCCGCACCGCCGCCGCCGCCGCCGCCCGGCGATGCCCGCGGCCCCGGGCGCACCGGCCCGCGGAGGCGGCGCTGACCCGGAGCAGCGGAGAGGCCCCCCCCGGGCCATGGGCAGCGGCGACCCCGGCCCGCACCGAGGGCAGCACCGGCAGGTACGTGCGGAAAGTTTGGGGAAGGGGAGCGCGAAGGGACCCCCGGGGCGGCTCCCACCGCGCCGCCGAGCGCCGTCGGGGCCCCGCGCCCCGGCCCGGGGCCGCTCCGAGGGGACGCTGAGCCCCGGAGAGGGAGCCGGGGTCGGGGGAGCCGCCGGGATCGGTGTTGCCAGCGGGCAGCGGCGGCACCGGGATGCCGGTCCAGGGCTCCCGGCTCGGCCCGGCCGCCTCACGTCGCTGCCCGGTCCCCGCGTGTCCCGGTCCCGTGTCGCCTCCCGGGACTCCCCGGAGCCGGTGCGGGGCTCGGGAGGGTCCCCGCGGTGAGTTTCTCGCGGCCGGTGCTGCCCCGAGCCCCGTTCGCGGTGGCTCCGGTAGCAGCGGCGCCCCCGGTCCGTGCCCGCGCTGTGGCGGGGGATCTGCCGCGGAGTGGGCTCGGATCCGCGGGGCCCGGTCCGGCCACCGGCTGCGGGGGTGGGCTCTGGCCAGAGGGGCTCTTTGCCCCGGTGAAACGGTTCTGCCCGCCCTGGGAAGCCACTCTTCGTTCTGAGAGGCAAAACACCGCTGGGGAGACCCCCGGGTTCTGCAGCCAAAGATGCTCCTTCTCCCTGGAAGGGGCCGTGAATCCCAACCACTGCTGCCTTCGGTGCAAGCTGTCCCTGCAGCCAAAGCCTCGGGCAGGACAGGATGGGATGGTGGCTTCCATCTTCCTCTGCTTCCTTCCTCTCTGCCATAGCTCCTCTAGTCAGGATGGGTTTGCCTCTGTCCAGTGCCAGGCTGGAGTGGGGAAGGGGCACTGGGGTCCTGCTGCCTCGTGGGGCACAGGATGGGCACAGGCCAGGTGTGCCCCTCACCCACGAGTGGAGGCTCAGTGGCCCAGAGGAGAGTGTGAGCTGTGCCAGTCCCACTCTGGAGTGGGGCAGGAGTTCGTCCATGCTGTGGTTCCAGGCAGGGAAGCAGGAGTCTCCTCCTCCTGCCCATTAGGCATCCCTTTTGCTGCAGTGTGAGGCCTGGGGAGCTGTTCAGTGTGTGGGTGCTCTTGCCCTGAGAGAGCTGATCTGTGCTGGGGCACCCACACCCCAGAAAGGAGCCTGCACAGGTGAAATGTTGTATTTCCTGGGGAACAATCCTGGCACTGGATGAAGCAGAGGTTCTGGCTGTCAGCAGAGCTGACCTTCAAGATGCCAGTGGCAGTGGGGTGGTGAGATCCACCAAGTGAGGGAGCAGGAACAGACCCATGCTTTGATGGAATTAAAAAGTCTTCCGCTCACCTTGGCTGGGAAGGAAATGCTGCAGACGCTGGAGGAATGAGCAAGAAGCTGGAAATAAATCAGCGTGGAGAAGAGGATGAGGGAGCACACTTGGGGGAAGGAGTCTTCTGCATCTCTTTGTGCTCCCCTGCCACCTCAGAGAGCACATGTTTCCTGGTGCCCTCACAGACACATCTGTGGTGCTGGACTGCTGTCGGTGTGACCTGAGTAAGAGCTAAAATGGAGTGTGCAAAAGGACTTGGCTCAACCTGGAGCTCTGGGGCTGGGCCAGGCTCCCCTGCAGTGGGGTTTTCCTTTTGGGGAGGAGCAGTGCAGCCTCTGGGGCAGCTCAGAGCCTGGCAGGGTGTGGGAGATGCTGAGTGAAGCTCCCATCAGTGGTGCTCCAAGGGGCCATCCAGCTCCCTGAGAGCTGCCCCAGCTCTGCAACCACTGGAGCTCCAACTTCCCAACTTTACCTCTAACGGAGCATCCTCAGTGGTGCAGAGGGAGCAGGGACTGAGCCAGGCTGCTGACCCTACCAGAGCCTGTGCTGTGCCTTCCCAGGTGTCTCCTTGCTTGTCAGGATCTTCCAAGGAGGCATCAGCTTCCCTGGAAACCCAGCAGCCTCTCCACACCGCTGCCTTGGCTGCTGTGCAGCCCACGGAGCTTGGGGTGAGGGAAGGACACCTTCCCTTGGGCAGCACCTACAGACAGGTAGGGAGCCCTGGAGGTCCAACCCTCCTTTTGTACAGAGGGATCAGCCACTGCTGTCCTGAGGTTTTCCAGGGATGGACAGGGATGTTCAGGGCAGTCCCAGGCTGGGTGTGCAGCCCGTCCCTGTGTCCTGCCCAGTGGGAACTTTGCTAAAACAATCTGGCTTTTTTGCTTCAGGGAAATACTAAAATAAAATCACCCCATTCAACAGGCAACATAACATCCCCAGTGGTGTGGGAGGATTTCTGTGCCTGTGGGCTCTGGTCAGGTTTTCCTTCCCGCTCTGTGGTCGGGGTGTGGAGCTACCCGGCACTGCCGACCTTCAGGCTGTGCTCTGCTGGGTCAAAGCATCAAACAAAGGTGCCCAGGTTCCAAAAAATGCTGAAACAGCAGGAGCATGGAAATAGCTCTCGAAAAACTGGCAGGAGTGTAGGGCCAGAGGTGCACAGAGGTTGGGGCTGCAGCAGGGAGGGTTCATGTCACTCGGCACAGAAACCAGCCAATGCACCAGCCTCCCCCACCTCCCTCCTTCTCCTTTTCAGGTGGAATTCTGCTAACTCTAATTATCCAGCTCACATGGACCTTTGCAAACAATGCTCCAGACTGGCAGGACTTGGAGCATAATTTGGCATGACAGGGTCCCTCATTAGCACCGTGGGGCGCCGGGCTGTGCTCCGGGGAGCTGCGCACGGAGCAGTCCTGGCTGGAGGGTTGCAGCTCCACGTGTGGATTTAATGAAGGAAGAGGAAAAAGTCCAGAGGTGCAGTGACAGGTGGAGTGGTCAGGGTCTGGGAGGACAGCGTGGAGCTGCTCCCAGGATGTCTCTGTGTTGGAAGACCTCAATATGGCTCTGGTGTGGGTGGTGGCCCATGCCAGTGTGTGCCCATGGGGAGGGACATTGGCCCACACAGAGGACATATCATCCTTTGCCACCCTGGTTATAACTGAGTTTGATCTTCTGAGAGATTTGGGCACTTGGCAGTTACCTCGGATCCCAGCCCAGACCTGAACGGCAAACTCACCCAAAAAATCTTAGCGAAAAATCCCACAAAATTCCAAACAGAACGTAGCAGGAGGGAGAATATTGATACTTTCAATCAAAATTAAGTGCTTTGACGTGCCAGAACACCGCTCTTCATTTCACACTGACACTCCAGGCTGAAAAATTTCAAGTCAGACCAAACATTTGTAGTTGGAGTCTCACGACGCTGGGGGTTGAGAACTGTCAAAACAGCAGTTTCTGCAGAGATGTGTTTTCTGACGGGAGTCTGGGCATGAGTGGGAGCCCTGAGTGCCTGTTCCAGGGTGGAGCACTGGGATGGCACCTCATGGCACCTCTCAGCCTCGTGCTCCCCTGAGCCCCCCGTGCTCTCCCGGCCGCCAGAGCGGCTCCTTCCTCTCGGCACGGCGGCTTCCCTTTGGAATGTGTTGTGGACAGTGCAGGCTGCATTATTGATAACGTGATTTATTTATGCTTCCTTGGCTATAACAAACAGCTCAGCCTTCCCGAGCTAAGTATAGTGTTTGCTCTGGGAGCCTGTCCCTGCGCTGTGTGGGGTGGGAGCAGCCAGAGGGGCGCTTGGTTTTTGGTCCAGCTGAGAGGTTTAGGGATATCCCCTGCAGACACCACATGGCCTGGAGGGTCCCGTGGGCAGGAGCTGGGGCCAGGCTCTCCAGAGGGGCCCTGGCGTGTGCTGTGGGGCTCAGAGCCGTGTTCTCTGCATGAAAGGGCAGCCAGAGCTGGAGCAGGAGCCAGGAGAGCAGGGTGTCTCGATGTGAGCCCGCCTGCTCTGCTGAAAGGCACGGGGGGTGTTCGTCAGGGACTCGCTGTCCCAAGAAATGCAGGGGCTGGCTGGCAGCCCTCACATCTGGGCTGCCAGATGTGCCCCACGGTGGGGCAGGACAGCTGTGTGCACGTCCCAGTGTGGCTGAGGGGTGCCCACAGGGTGGGAGGACACGCTCCCTGCTCCCGGCTGGATGCAGCGGAGCTGCCTCTGGATTCACGTGGAGGGCTGAGCAGCAACAGGAGAGCTGTTTACTTTGTCACTGAGCAAACAGTGCAGGCTTTAAGCTGGCATCAATATTTACACAGTGGGCTGATGTGTCTCCAAAGGAACTCCAGCAGTGCTGGCTGCTGTGTGATCCCCCTATGAGAAGCCTCATGCAGAGAAGACTCTGCTGGAGCGCTGGAGATCACCTAAATATGGGTTTACCCGAGGGAGTATCACAGTCTCATCACATCACCTCAAGGTTTTCTTGTGCACTGAGCCATCCTAGGATCATTCTGGCAACAGAGGGGCTGGAGCAGGATCAGTCCCTTGTCACCCAGTGGGCAGGGATGGAGCCAGGACAGTGAGCAAGATGCTCCCAGCCACTCTCCAGTTTGCTCCTGGCCAAGCTGACCATCCTACAGCATTAATTAGGAGAATTTCCTTACTTCTAAATTCCTTTTTAGCATAAAATATGTGTTTTTTCCAAGATACATTTCCTTTTTTTTTTCTGGGCAAATGTCAGCATTTTTGATGACATTTTCTGATTTTTTTTTTTTTTTCCAGATGGGAGAATCAAAGTGGAAAATATCACTTTAAATCAACAGTTTAGAATGAAGCATTTTTCATTTTGAAATGTCAGTTTAAAACAGGACAATTCATTTTGAAATGCTGCAAAACAGGCAATGCCCTTTTTACCACCTCAAATCACTTTGTTTTGATTAAAAATGTCAGCGCTTTGTGCTCTGGCTCTTCATTAGAGCCACTGTTTCACTGCATCGTGGTCCAGAGCGGACAGAAATCTAGAAGATGGCTGAAAAATGAAGATTTCTTCCCTCAGAGGTGTGGGTTTGTCTGCTGCACTGCTGGGACCCTGTGCTGCCCGTGGAGGGGACGGTGGGTGCGAGGTTGGCACGGGGTTGGTCCTGGCAGCTCTCCCCAGCCCGAGCATCATCACCTTCATGTCCTCTCATTACTAAGTTATGATCCAGCACTAAAGTTTTATGGGGGACTCAGTTTGCTCTGGACCTGGTCAGACCCCAGCAGGTGACAAGCGAGGCCACGAGGTCACCACGTCACTTGGCAGGCGCCGAGCGGTGACGTCGCTGTCAAGTGCTTGTGCTTGTGGAGCCCCGTGGCTGTTCCCACCTGCAGGGCTGTGGCTGTAAATAGTGCAGAAAACATATTTAGAGCAGTCGACAGTAAAATACCAACTCTTTGGGGATTTACATTCTTCCCTGGGGTCTCCAGATGATGTAAAACTCGGCTCCTTCCCGGCACACCCCGTGTGGGGTGGGAGGAGGGGGGATGTGTGCGGTGCCCTGACGTGCACTGAGGTGCCAAGAGAGGTTCTTGGTGTGTCCAGAGGTAATGGGTGCAGTGTGAGAGTGTGGTTGCATGAACCTGGCAGCCGTGCTGAGAGGAGAAGCAGCCCCAGAAGAAGGAGGTGTGCTGGGAGAGGAGAGCGCTGGGCTGCAGGTTCTGGAGCTGTGTGTATCCAACCCGGCATCAGCTGCCCTGCTTCTCAGATCCCTGTGTGGTGCTGACCCCAGGAGATCCAGCACGATCAGTCCATGCACCTGCCTGCCAGCAAGTGGTCTGCAAGTGCCAAACCCTGGGCATCACTGCAAGGGACCCTGGTGACACGAGGGCAGTGTCGGTGTAACCACGCAGGGAAAAGGTGGAGCCGGGAACGACTCGCTGCTGATTTACTCTGGCTCTTCCCACACACTCGGGGTCTGTGTGTAGGATTTGTCATCTGCGTTAATAGCCTACTACAAAGGGCCTGGTTTTGTTCTTTCAGCGGTAAAAATCTGGAGCAGCTCTGCTGCAGTGGATGGGTCCTGCTGCTGTTCAGAGGGGTGGGCACGGTGCATGTGGTGGCCACCCAACAGTGTGTTTGTTGAAGAGGGGCTGGTCAAGCCCAAGGTGGCCCCAGCCGCTCCTGGGGACACTGGTGGCTCACACTGACAGCAAGTATCACTGCCCCTGTCCTTCTTTCTCCTTTCAGATGCGCTGATGTCTGCCCCTTGCCAAGACCTGACCCACCCGAAGTTGGCAGATGCGCAGATGTGAGCGTGAATCCCCAGTAAAAGGTAACTATCACTCACCTGTGCTACTGCTGGTGGGGTTTCTTTCTGTCCTGCTGCAGTGGCCTGGGCTGCTGATGAAATTCGAGCCCACCTGAGGGTGATGGGTGAATCCCTTCCTCTCCCAGGGCTGTGACCCCACAGCCAGGACACCCCAGTCCCTGCATGTTCAGAGGCTGCATCACTGTATGCAGCAGCGTTGATGAGTGGGGCTGCACCTCCCAACCCTCCTCACCCCTCTTCCTCCACATATCTCTTCTTCTTTTCGGTAGAATGAGTGAGAGAGACATACAGAGCCTGAGCAAATGGGTTTTCGTGCTCACTCTCTGCCTTACCACGCTGTGGGGACGACTGACACTGGCCTCCACCCATCATCACAGAAGCCATTCAGGTAGGGATTTGCACTTGGAGTGCCTGTGTGTGCAGGAAACTCCCTGGGCTGCTCCTTGGAGGCAGGCAGGAACATGGAGCCATGGGACAGTAAAGCTGCTCCTTGGAGTTAGAACTTGTGGATACCCGATACGAGGCATTTAAATCCTGTGGCTTGGTGAGTCTGGCTGGCCTGAGGAGCTGCAAAGTGAATTTCTTCATGTCTGTAGCAAAATCTGAGACACACAGAATGACCCATGGGTACATCTGATACATCTGGGGACTCAGGTTATTACTGAGGTAATTCTTGGTCTGTGAGCTGTGGATGTAAATCTTCCCACCCGAGTTGCAATGAGAGTCCCAAACCCCACTTGTTATGCAATGGACACTCTCCACCTCAGGCTTTTGTTAGAAATACAACTTTTCATCCCCCTGGTTGCAAAGATCATCTCGAAAGATTGAACAAGTATGAAGTGACGTAGAACTGAAAGTCTCGCTGGAAAGCATCATCTTGGCCCTGGAAGGTTCATTTGTTATGCCCAGCTGTGGATCTGAGATTCCCCCTCTGTGTGTGTGTGTGTTGGGATGCTCCTTTGTGCCACAGATGTGACTTTTTGTGAGGAGGTGGGTTGTGTGAACCCATGGCTGATGTTTGTGTCTGGAGAAGAGAAGCAGCTGAGAAGTCGTGCCCAGCTCTTTGTGCCTGGTGCAGGAGCCTGAGGGGACGTGCCAGGGTGGTGACCCAGTGGTCCAGGGCTGGAGATTCCTTGGGTGCATGGTGGGAGGACACTGTGTGGGTGGGTACTGGTGTTACTGGTGCTACTGGTGTTACTGGTGCTACTGGTAGAGCTGTGCAGCCAGGCAGCAGAGACAAACCCTTGGAGCCCAGGGTGATCCTGGGGCACCTGCTGTCTGCCTCTCTTACCTCTGTCTGGAAAGGGCATTTAAGGGTTAATTTGAAACCACTCGTGCTCTTGATTGACCCCACACCTCGCCCTGTCCTATTTCTGTCATTTTTGCCTGACAGTTAAAGCAGTTCTAATCCTGTAATCCCCAACCACGTTGTTTAAAACCAAAAGGCCTCTTCCTGAGTGACTCCCTCACCCAGGCAGGCAGCAAATACCTGCCTTTCCCTTCTCCTAATCCTGGATGCCCCATCCCTGGAAGTGTCCAGGGCCAGGTTGGACAGTGCTCTGAACAACCTGATCTAGTGGAAGGTGTCCCTGCCTGTGGCAGGGGGTGGAACAAGATGAGGTTTAATGTCCCTTCCAACCCAAACCATTCTGTGATTCTGACTTGGGGAGAGCTCATTTTTTTTCTGGAATGACTTTACAGCACTGTCTCAGGACTCCCTGGGATGCAGGCACTGCTGGCAGCCAGGTGCTCACCCAATCTGCCCAATCCCAGCGCCAGAGAATCCCACTCCACCACGGGATCAATTTGCAGGGAGCTGCTTCTTCAGGGAAGAGTCAGATCTGGCATTAATAAAGCAGCAACTCACCAAGGTCTGTAGTGCAGATGCCCAAGTGTAGCTCTGGGGTGTGAATTATGTATAAATCTCACTCGTCCATGAACAGCCAGGCTCATGGACTCACGTGCCAGCAGGCAGAGAGCTGGGGGTTTTTCACTCACACAGACTTATCCACAGTGGACCAAACCTTGCACTTTTTATTCAGGAAAATTCCAATCCACAGCGAAGAGAGCAGACCAGGAGCAAGCAATTAAAACTTTGACCCCACTCTGTGTCTGCATGAACATGTTTTCTCTCTGCCCATCCTGCTTTCCTGGCACTGTAAGAACTTTCCGTGGCTGCTTCCTCTCCTGGGTTGTGATTCCATGGCTCAAACCAGGAATTCTTGCTCTGCTTGCAGAGCCTTTCTTTTCCTGTTGTTTTTTTGTTTGTAGTGGTTTTTTTTCCTTTTCCTGTGCTTTTGCTTCATTTGGGACAGTTTTTTTGGAGAATGTTATGTTTGAAACAGACTTCCATAATGCTGCATCCTTGGTGGCATTTGTGACAACCTCAAAACCACCCCCTGTGCCTGAGCTGCCCTGTGCCCACCCAGCACGTGGGGATGCTGCTGTGTGCAAGCAGAGTGGTGCTTCCTGGGGAGCATGGTTGGATTTAAAGAGCCACATGAACCAAGCACAGCCATTTGGAAATGGAATAGGAGAGTCCTCAGTGGGGAATGATTCACCAGCAGTTTAATCTCCTGTGTAACGTGGTGAGGTCTCTGTGATGAGCAAGGCTGGGATGTCTGGATCCACCTCCCACAAAAGGTGGCCCCAGCACTTTCTACTAAACCCCTCTAAAACTGATAATCAAAGTGCTTTGTTTGCTTTTATCCCCTTTCACTGCTCAACCTGGAGCAGAAGTAAAGGCATTTAGTCAGCTTTTGGGAAGTGAGGTTTTCTGGATGAAGGAAGAGCACCAGTTTTTGACTATGTTGTAAGAGGGATTTACTGGTCAGCAAAGGCAGCAGCTCTGTGGCATTTACTTATGAGATGCTTCACTTGGAAGAGCCTTGAGTCCTCTGTCCCATTCAGCCTTTACAACAAGGTGGAATATTGCCCTGATTCACCCTTGCTAGACAGGGTGGGTGTGGGAGCATCATTCAGCACCAGGGGGGTTGTGTGTCGGGAGCTGCATCCCCAGCTGCAGGGTGTCCTGGCAGCTTCCTTGTCACACAGAGTGTCAGAACACTCTCAGCTGTTCTCAGCACGGCCCAGGAGTCTGGATTTCTGCTTGCAAGTGTGAAGTGATGGGGTGTGCACGAGCAGTTCATGGATGTGCACACACTCACACGTGTGGTGAAGGGGGACAGAGTGTGATGTGCAGTCTTGAGGCGACAAGAGGAAAAAAAAATCCCGACAGAAATGCGGTGATAATGAGTGATAAAAACAAGGCTGCTTCTCTCCAAAGCCCTCTTAAATAATACATGCATCTAAGGCAGTAGTGATTTTAAGGCTTTAATTATTTAGTGAATATTAGTAGTGGAGTTGTTGCAGGGTGAGGAGCACAGATCACTCACACCGCTGGCTGCCCGGGTCTGCCCATGATCTGCTCCATTCCTGGTGCCCCCAGGGCTGTGCCACCCTTGAGCAGAGCCCACCAGGGACAGGATCCTCTGCCTCCCTCCAGGTCCTGCCTCTCTCTGCTGCTCAGCCCCCTCTGGAACACCCAAACCCCTTTAAGAGCATTTCAGTGCCCAGCAGAACCACATCACAGAATCACAGAGTGCTTTGGGTTGGAAGGGACATGAAAGTTCTTATTGTTCCATCCCCTGCCATGGACAGGGACACCTTCCAGTAGACCAGGTTGCTCCAAGCCCTGTCCAACCCGGCCTTGAACACATCCAGGAGGAGGAGAAGGTTTGACACAGGGGTTTGGGCGCTGCCTGGCATTTCCATGCATCCAACTTCTCCTCATTTTGCAGCTCTCTAGCAGCAAGCAGAGCAGTGTTTGCTACTGAACATGTGGAGCTGTGCCCACGCTCCCTGAGACACTCAAAATGTGTCATTTCAGGTTATGCCATAAAACCCCATGTTCTGCTGCTCACTTAAAGGTCAGCCAGAGTAGGGCACCATTTTTATTTTATTTTTGCAGGCAGGATTCAAAAGCCTTGTGCTCTTACAATTCTTTTATGGTTCCATGAGATAAGATGGTTTTTTTTAAAAAATGGTTCCAGTGGGGAAATACCAGTTAAATGGGAGGGAGAAGTGTGCCAGAAGCTCTGGAACTTATCCCAGGCTCTCTGGGGGTTTCCTGCTGTTGGTGTTAAACACACCATCCATCTGATCTGCGTTTTGTTCCAAGTTTCCTGCTGCTCAGCAAAAGGAGAGGCAGCTGCAGGGAGCTCTGGAGCCCACGGCTCGCCCTGCACGTGGGCTCAGCCTCTCTGCTTGTGCTTCCCGAGGCGTGGGACACGAGAGCCCTGGGCACAGGGCTGCTCACCCCCTCTGCAAGGAGGAAACAGCAGTGTCTCTTGCTGACATGCTGGGAATCAGCACATCTGAGGCAGGGGAGGGTTTGTTGGCACCCAGCTGCCACCCCAAAAACTCCTGAGACGAGGGGCGGGAAAGGGGGTGAATCTGGTGTGTAGGAGCTGAGGTGCTTTGTGCCAGGTGGGATGGCTCTTCCCACGGGAATGTCAGCCCTGCTCAAACACCTGGGAAAGGGATGCACCCCTGACCTGCTGCTGGGGCTGGGGCTGGCACCTGGAAGGGTCTGGGCAGCTGGCAAAATTCCAGTGTCACTGTGCCCCAGGGTAGGATGTCGGATGCTCACAAGACAATGGAAAGGATAATGGTTTTAAACTAAAAGAGGAGAGATTTAGACTAGATATTAGGAAGAAAGTCTTCCCTGTGAGGCTGGGGAGGCCCTGGCACAGGTTGCCCAGAGAAGCTGTGGCTGTCCCATCCCTGGAAGTGTCCAAGGCCAGGTTGGACAGGGCTTGGAGCAACCTGGGACAGTGAAAGCTGTCCCTGCCTATGGCAGGGGGTGGAAGGAGATGAGCTTTAAGATTCCTTCCAACCCAAGCCAGTCTGTGATTCTACAATTCCAAGACCTTTAGGCAGGTGGAATGAATTCATGGCCTGAGAGAAGGATGGCTCCTGAGCCTGTGAGCTGTTCCCCCAGCTCTACCATCAGCAGTGCCCTTGCTGTGGGGCTGTGCGTGCCCCAGGGAGGCTGTAGGGCTGTGCCAGGGGACCGTGGGGCTGTGCCAGGGCAATGGGGTGCCTGCCCCATGCAGGGTGCTCTGTGTAGGCAGCTCCTCCCTGGCAGAGGCTCCAAGGTTGTGACTCTGGCACCGCCGTGCCCTGTGCCCAGCCAGCTGCAGCGAGGCAGAGGAGAGGAAAATTTCTCTTTATCTCTGAGCTGCACCTTTTTGAGCAAATTAAAAGGGCTTTGGCACGTTAGCAAACTCCTATTGCACGGCTGTAATGAGCGATTTCTCAGCTCTGCCTGGCTCTCCCTCAGCTGAACCTTTTTAAATTAGCTGAAAATGAGCAGCCGGGGAGCAGGAGTGCGAGGGAGCAGAGGGGTCGCCTGGGCAGCCCTCCTGGGAAGAGCTCTGCTAATGAAGCTTTTCTAAAAACGAGTCAAAACCGTAACTCCGTGTGAGCTCTGGGGCTGGAGGGTGTAAAAAACCCCTGGTGGGGTGTGCAGGGTGGGAGAGTGACTCCTTGTGGAGTCCCACAGTGTGGTGGGAATGTGGGCTCACGGGCAGCCCAAGCCAAGGATTCTCTGCTTCTACCTCAAATTATTTGAAATATCCCATGAAGCATAAAAACAGAGCAGAACAGGCACGTTTGTTCATTAATGAGTTGCTTTCCTTCTCACTTCCACTGAAGTCTACCATTCCTGCATGCAAAAAGAATGGAATTTATTATTAAAGCTGAGCTGTTATGGCATTTCAAAGGGAAGATAAAATTTATGGCCAGAGATGCTATTACAAAATATTCCAGGATAGATAATTGTGTAATTATTATGGGCATAAATGAAAGCGATGGTGCATTAAAAGAAAATGACCATGAAATAACAATAAATAAAGTAAATTAAAGCTGTGGTGATTGCGTGGCCTGCCCTGCCTGTGTGCTGGGGGGTGCAGGGCTCAAAGGTGTGTCTGGGGGCAGCTCCTGACATCCTGCCCTTCATCTCCCATCTGGCACTTGGACACGGTGGGAACAGGAGAAGGGCAAGGAATGCTTTGACTGGAAGCTGGCACAGCTGATGTAAAGCCAGAGGGTTGCACTGGATGGACAGGCTGAGGCTGGCAAACACAGGATGGGCCAAGTGTGCTGGGAGAGGGCAGAGAGTGGGCTTGTGCTCACTGGTACCTGTGCCAGCAGCACCAGCATCAGGACACTTCACTCCCCCAGTGCTCTTTAAGCAGGACCTGCAGGGGTCTCTGGGCTCATGGGAATGGAGTCTCTCCAGCCCTGTTTGGCTGATTTGATTTGTGCTTGTGTGGGCCCTGCCTGTCCTGCTTGCACCCCTTTCCAAGCCTTTCCTCCAGTGGCTCCTGCCTGCACTCTGGGATGTGGAAGGTGTCCTGAGGGTGTGGAGCAGCCAGGCCTGACGCCCTGACACCTGTTCAGCTGCACTCATTTTGGGATGCCACACTGCAGGAATGCAGCTCCCCTCGCTCCCTCTGACCAGAGAATAAAATCCTGTTCCCATTGACCCAGGGGATGTCCGTGCCCAGCTCTGCACTGCTCCTCCAGTGCTCATTAAGCAGGACCTGCAGGGATCTCTGGGGTCATGGGAATGAAGTCTCTCCAGCCCTGTTTGGCTGATTTGCATTGTGCCTGTGTGGGCCATTACCCAGCCAAGGCATTGATTCGTGATGCTGACCAGCTCTAAACTCCCATCCCAGAGGTGATCAGCCAGCTCAGTAGTTTTCTTTCTTCCTTAATATTTTAATGGCAGCAGAGCAGCCTGGGTTGCTGATGAACACCATGACATTTCTCTGTCACTGCAGGGTGGAAACACCGTCCTGATCCTTCCTCCTGCACCCAGAGGGTGGTGGGTGATGGTGGGACGGAGGTGTCGGTTGTAGTTGGAGGGTCAGGGGTGGTGGTGCTCTGCTCGAAGCCAAAAGCAGCACAACACACTTTGTAGAGCAAAGTGCACCTCATTATCAGCTGCAATTAGCTAAGGTGCTCATTAGTTTCAATGAAGCTCTTGGCTTGGCCGTGGCAAGAGGGGATGAATTTCGGTGGGTAAGGACGGGTGTGAGGGCTGTCGGGAGTGAGAGCTCGGATGCAGGAGGTGTGGGGCAGGACCGGTGCTTGTCCTTAGGGGTGGGCTGGGGAGATGCTGTGCCCAGTGCCTGTATGCCTCCCTAGGGAGATTCCAGAGCCTGTATGTCACCAGCAGCCCCGGGGAGATTCCAGAGGCTGGGACAGCACCACCCACGCCTGTCTCTCCTGGTGACTCTGTCATGGCACACACTGGCATTGCCCCCTGGGGGAGGGTGGGCAGGAGGTGGCCTGAGGTCTCCAGGGCCTGACAGTGGCTGTTTCCCCTCCCTCAGTGCACGTGGAGCCCGGCACGTGTGAAGTGATCGCGGCTCACCGGTGCTGCAACAAGAACAAGATCGAGGAGCGCTCCCAGACGGTGAAATGCTCCTGCTTCCCGGGGCAGGTGGCAGGGACGACACGGGCAGCTCCCTCCTGCGTGGATGGTGAGTACCCCACGATCACAGCCCCATCCCATGTGATTCCTGACTGCATCCTCCTAGACTGTCAGGCTGCTGTGGAGCTTCCGTGGCCCTGGGGTTAAAACAGGTGAGACCTGCCCAGGGATCCTTCAGCAGAGCAGAGGGGAAGAAGGAGCATCTTGGAGACGTTCTCTGTTGGTGTGGCTGTGTTGCCCCACTTTGTGCAGCCCCAGGGTCTGTGCTGGGGGTGGATTTTGGTGCTCCAGGATTGCTGCACTGGGACCTGGCACTGCAGCATCGATCCCTGCACGTCTCCTCACTGTGCTGCCACAGCCAGAGGCAGGGATGTGACTCCAGCTGTGCAGCTCCATCACCTGCGAGGAGCACTAAGCAGAACTCAAGCTGTGTATGTTTTATTGAATGCCATCACATGCCATCACCGTCAGGAGCAGCAGCCCCTGCCAGGGCGGTATCGACTCCCTTGGCAGCTGGTGCCCTGTGAGTGCACTTGTGTGCAACACCAGGAAATGGCAGAATGAGTTGTCAGGGAAGGCTCTTGTTGTCCCCAACAGCTCTAGTGTCCTTATCCCCAGATATAGGGAGCCCACTCTGGTTGGAGGCATGGACTGCAAGAGCGTGGCAGATCAGAGTGGCAGGAGACAGCACTGCTCTCACTGGGAGTGAGGACAGGGCTTTTTACTTGGAGTAGAGAGACAAAACAGGGTGCTCCAGAGGCAGGTGGAGCAGCTGGGTCAGGCAAGGCCAGGCAGAAGCTCCTCGACCAAGGCTCCTCGACCCGAGCTGTGCTGGAGAGAGAGGCTGCACCAACCAAAACTGGGCAGGGCTGCCCCCCCCACACCCCGTGTCACAGCCCAGCCACTGACCCCTGCTCTCCCCTCAGCCTCCATCGTGCTGCAGAAGTGGTGGTGCCAGATGGAGCCGTGCCTGGACGGGGAGGAGTGCAAGGTGCTGCCCGACCTGTCGGGCTGGAGCTGCAGCAGCGGCAACAAGGTGAAGACGACCAAGGTACGTCCCAGGCAGGTGGTGAGGGGGGAGCCTGGCTGTGCCTTCCCCAGCCTGGGGCAGGCAAAGCATCCCCAGAAGAGTTCTCCATGGAAGGAAGGAGCTGTGGCTCCTCCAGGGCAGGCACTGTTTGGTGTGGATGCAAAGCAGAGCAGAGGATCTGGACTGCGTGGTTGTCAGCAGTGCTGGAGAGGCTGGCAGGGGTACCACAACCCTGAGTGAGTCCCACAGCTTTGCCAATTCATAATTCCCACTGGGAAGCTCAGTGAGGAGGATATTGGGTGTCTCAGCCCCTGGTCAGACATATGGGGGTGTCTCCACCATCCCAGGGTGTCCTGGTTGCTCCCTAGCACCTCCCACTGCTCCAGGGCAACACATTGCTCATCCCACCCCGGTGGCACAGCCCTGAATCCGTCCCCACTCCCTGTCTGAGGCAGTCATCTGTGACAGAGCACTACATGATTATTATTTTCATGGCTTGCTGAATGCCCCAAAGAACAAGGTGTAATTAAAATTTTATCAAACTCATTAGTAATTACATATATGCCATGGTTAATCAGTTGCATAATTTTGTAGTCATTGTTCCTGGTGTTGAGTGTAATTATTCCTTATGCTTTCGTTTTCCTCGCCCCACATCCCCTTGCCATAAAATTATCCTATTAAGCGATGTTGGGATTTTTTTTCCATTACTGCTATTATTTTTGTGCACAGAAAGCACTTTCATGCTCAAGTGTTTTTATGGACATCCAAGAAGGTTCCTCCAGCCCCGAGCATCCATCACTGACCAGTAACTGCAGCACCACATTGAGCTTGTTGTCTTTTTCCCATTTTGCTGTTTTGTGGTTGGTTTCCCCCAGCTGTTAACTTAGCCCAAAGCCTCTGCTCTGGATTTGCTGTCCTGGGCTCTCACTGGGACCATTCCTGGACCACTCTGGAGTTTATACTCTCCTCCCTCATCCAGCAGACCCCTCCATGGCCATCCTCCCAGCACCCCTTTTTGGGTCCTGTGTTCTCCCTTAAGGAGACAGCAGTTTGGAAACACAGACCTGTGTTTTCAAAGGAACTTTGGGTGACTTTAGTGGCTCTGGAATGGTGCCAAGGGGCTGAATTTGCACCTCACAGTCCCCTCTGCAGACAGACCCCAGCGGGAGCTGCAGGCAGAGCACGGGGTACACAAACAATCCGTGAGGTGACGTTTGGAAGGAGCATCCCGTTAAATGAACATGAAGATCAAATCTTGTTTTCATCTCTTAGGGCTGTTTGTTGGTGATTCGTGGGTGGGGAGTCAGCTGGATGTGTTGGGTGACTTCTCCTGCTCTCCACAGGTCACTCGATAGCCCCCGTGCAGCGCGGCGCTGACTGACCAGCCTCGGCGTGGGCCCTGGTGCTCCTGTGAGCAGCAGGATGTGTCCTGGTGCCCGTGGAGGTGGGATGATCCAGGGCTGCCATCCTGTGCCCGCTGGCAGGACCGTGACAGGTACCACTGGATCAGAGCATCCGCTGAGCCCTGGCTGCCCTGGCGGCTGCAGGCAGGGACCCCGGCACAGCTGCCACACTCCTGTCACTCCACGGTCCCCTCCTCCTCTGTGGACACGTTCACCAACCAAGAAATGGGCTTGTTTTCCAACCCTCTTAAATAAAATACTCCAGCCATGTAAGAGCTGTTGACCATACAGGGGCAGACAAGCAGCGAGCCCCCAAAATGGGCTTTATTCCGAATAGCTGAAATCATTGCTGTGAGTCGCCTTTCCCCATCTCCCAGGATGCTGAACCCGAGTTGCTGTCAGGAACTAGGAAGTCGATGGTTGTGTGAGATCCTCCTCCATGTGCCTCCCAGCTCCTGGCTCCGTGGGGTTCCCAGGAGCAGGCCCTGAGCTCCAGCCTGATCCCAAGTCACTGGGGTCTGCTCTGCCCTTGGAGCACTGGGATTTCCCTGTGGCAGATGTGGCAGCGTGGCCAGGGAGGGCGTGACACCCCGTCAGTACCCTGGGGATGGTGAGATGTCTCCATGGCGCATGCTGCTGGTTTCTCCTTCCTCGGTTATTGCATTAATCAGGCTGCAAATTTAATGTTCTCCACCGTGCAAGTCCCAGGCACCGAGTTTCTGCTTGTGTTTGCAATCGAATTCCGGAGTCGTGTGCGGGGGAGCCCTCTCTGTCTGCAGGTCTGGGCTGCCTGAACAGATGCCCAGCCAGGGCCCCAGACCCAGCCAGGTTCTATTGCATTACTCTAAAATAAAGGAAAATGTACCATCTCCTGGCCCTGAGCTCGTGACCTTCTCCAGGACACACCATTTCCCGGGGCTCAGCAGCTCGAGGGGGAGAGGACACGAGCTCTGTGCCCCCCGTGTCAGCAGGGCTGGGGACCCCAGGACTGTGGGGTGTGGGGCCAACACCTCCAGCCCTGACCTGTGGCCCGTGCAGGGACAAGCTGGCTCAGGATGGGCTGGAGATGTTGTGGGGTCACTGCTGAGGTCACTGGTGTGGGTGCAGCCTCCTGCCTCCTGCCACGGGTGGGACTCGTTATTGGGACGTTTTTGTAACGGGGTGTGCAGTACCCGCTCCAGATGTGATGTACATACCAGAATGTGAAATAATAAATTCATTTTAATCTCTGCAAAGGATCTCTTCACTCAGCAGCTCAGGGAGGCTCTGGGAGTGCTTCTCATGCCGGCTGGATCTGAGGCAGAGGTGCTGGGCACTCTGCCCTGGCTGTTCCAATCCCAACCAGTTCATGCAAGGGTGGCTCTGGAGAAGAGCTGGAAGCCTGTTGTGGCCAGCAAAGGCTCATTAGCTCGTAGTGATCCTAGAGAAAAGTACATTAATTTCTCCAGGATGATTTGCTGAGAGCTTCTCTTGTGCTGCCCCTTCTCCTTCATGTGGCAGCTCCCACTGCTGCAGTGCCACGTCCCTGCAGATGCCACCCCTACCCAGGGCCAGACTGTGTCTGTAAGATCCCCACCCAGAGTCCTGCCCCTTCCAAGAACCCAGGCTGTCGAATGGAGAGTGGAAATCTGTTATTTCCAGCAGCAAACACCGGGCTGCAGCCGGGAGCATCCCTATTTGGCTGAGCATTCCCGTGGTTGGCTCATAACGTGAAGGATCCACTCTGCGGAAGTGCTGAGCGTGACACCCACGCTGATACAGAAACATTTTATTGTCTGCATAATAGCCACCCTCAACGCTTATTTTTCACTTACTGCAATCCAGAGTTTAGCGAGGAAATTGCCCCTCGGTGCCTCTGCTGAGTGCTGACCTCGCTGCTATCGCTCCATCAGAGTACACAAATAAGGAAAATCGCCGCTCCCCTCCTGGCAGGTAAATGCTTTTCAGAGGAAAGCGCTGCAGCCTGCAGGACTGCTGGGGTTCTTTCTGACTCCTGAGCAGCCAGGGAAGGAAGCTGCTGCCACAGCTCCTGGTCCTTTCCACTCTGTGTTTTCAGTGCTTGCCTTTGGACAAACAGGTAGGATGTTCCTAGAAGGATTGTTAAGCCAAGGCAGAGGGTGATGGAGAATGGGAACATCCCTTTGCACAATGCCCTGTCTTTTCTCTCTCAGTGGGATAGTGCCACCCACGTGTTCCCCAGCTACCTCACACATCCCTTCTCTCCACACTGCTGATCTCTGAAGGACAGAAGAGCCCCTGTGGCTGCATCAGCAGCGTGGAGTCCCCAGAATCGCAGCCCAGAATCCCAGATCCACCCTGCCCACATGCCCATCATGGTGGGGAAGTCTCATGCCAAGCTCTGTCTTGGCACACAAGTGCAGTAACTGATGGGGAGCTTGCACAGACACGATTAGAAGTCGCCCGAGGGGTGATTAGTCAGAGGAAACTGTCACAGTTAACGTACTTTCAATATCATCTCCCTGGGTATTATAATTACACCCCATTCAATTAGTCTTCAGGGAAAAAAAAGGGCTTTTGTATTAAGGTTTGGTGGAGAATTATTAAAGAGTGAATTAAAAGACAAGGATTCCATTTTACTTCACAATAATAAAGGCATAATGTATAAAATACCCCAAAATTACAAGCTGACTAAATTTAGAGCTGTGCTAGGAGGTGAAATGAAAGGTAAAATGAAACCCTTTGAGCAGCCACGGTGTGCAGTACAAGGGGGGGTATTATCAGAGAAATAAGATGGAAACATAATTAACCACCCAGCATTATGCTGAAAGATGGCAAATTGCAATGGGAGACAAAATTAGGTGAAATTGCAGAGCAGGCTCATTTATTTCTGCTTTATAAATCAGTGCTACCTGTTGGCAGTGATGCCAAGCCATTCCAGAGCTGGAGCTTTCCCAGGGATGCTGCTGGTGGGCTGTGCTCACCTGGACAGTGAATTCTGTGTCACCGTGGGAGAAGGTGATGCCTCCAAGAGTCAAGTCCTTGGTGCCTTTTCCATGACCCAGTTGTGGTGTATTCAGGCCAGATCTGGTCTGTCTCCTTCCCCAAAAGTTGGTTCCCTTTCCCTGATGCTTTGCTGCTCCAACTGGTGCCACCCTTTTCCTTCTGCCAGTGCTGCTCCCCTGTCACCTTGCTGGGAACCTGCTGTCAGTGGCCTCTTGCACCAACGAGCTAAACAGCCCAGTTTAGGGCTGGAGGAACATTTTCTTTCACTGGAGTTAAATTTCCTCCTCTCAGGCTTAATTGGCTCCTGCTCCCTGTAACCTCTGCCTTCTCCATCCTCCTGCCGTCGCTCCGCTTGCCCCTCTCTGCCCATTTGCTTTATTGCTGCTTTTCAACGGACTCAAACAGGAAAAAGAACTTTGTCTTTCCCAGAAGCAGCAAGATTTTTCGCTAGAACCACCTTGCCTATGAAAAAACATCCCTGAGCAGCTCCTGTGGTGTATTTAGGAACGCAGAAACCCAGAACTGTTGTGTCAGATGAGAAGCAGAGTCCATCTCATCCAGCTTCTGCAATTCACACGGGAGGCAGGTGCAGGTGGCTGTTCTGGCACTTGTGTTTGGACATGAGCACGTGGGGCAGGATTTTTCTGCTTTGCCAACACCTTTCACAAAGAAACTTTTTTTTTTTTATTCCCTCTGGCATATTTGTAAGTAGATATATCCCTGTTTTGGGGCTGTGAAGCAAATGGCTCCAGCTTCCAGACACTCTGCCCCATCCTGCCAGCACTTGGGGCAGAAACCAACAGCATTAACAGCCCCACTGCCAGGATATGGGAACACAGGGCCATGGGCACCTTCCCCATTGCCTTGGATGCTGTGGGACTCCATTAGAGTCAGCAGGATAAAAATACAACAGCACAGGGTCTGCTCTGGTTCATACTCTTGTGATGGGGCTGTTTGAAGCATTAGATGGCTCTTCCAAAAACACGTCCTCATGTTTTATTCAAATGTGCATTTGTGGAGATGTTCTTAAGGGAAATGAATAAAATATTCATTCAGATGTTACTGTGCAATAAAAGCAGAGTCAGGGCAGGAACCACTGCTGGGGGTCAGGGCAGAGCTGGCCCTGTTGCAGGCAGCCCAAATCCTGCTGGGGCCCAGGAGAATCCCTGGGGATCACAGGGTCACTGAATATCCTGAGCTGGAAGGGAGCCACGAGGATCCTGGCACAAGTTTCCCGTAGAAGCTGTGGCTGCCTCATCCCTGGAATTGTTCAGGGCCAGGTTGGATGGGGCTTGGAGCCACCTGGGCTAGTGGAAGGTGTCCCTGCCCAGCCTGGGGACCACAACAGAGGTAGCACTGCACCAGGGAGCAGTGCCCATGTCCCATCCTGCTGCAGGCAAAGCCCTATCCCTGACTCCCATCCCAAGCTGGCAGGAAAAGTCAGGAGTCCCAAGCCCCAGATGTCCTTCCTCTCTGTCTCCAGATCTGGATCCCCACACACTTGGCAAAGCCAGATGGTAGAATCATAGAATCATTGAATCATAGAATCATTGAATCATTGAATCATTGAATCATGGAATCACTGAATCATGGAATCATGGAATCAGGAAATCATAGAATCATGCTCTCACCTCCCCAGGACAAAGGCATATGGAGGTGAGGGGCTGCACAGACATTGGCCCACCCTGGGCAGGCTCTGTTTGCTGCCTGCATAAGGGATTAAGTAGAGGCTTATTTTTATAAAGTGATTTGTAGCCTTTTTTCCCTGCTGGGGAGGCTGCAGTGGCCACAGCAGAAACAGAGCCATTGGCTGGGGCAGAGCAGCGAGGGAGGATGCAATTTAATTTGTGCATTTCCCAGCTTGTTGTTAATCTCCCGGCCTGCTGCTGGTATTTGATTTCCATAGCGTTGCTTCATAATAAAGGGATTAGCCTGGACCTCAGGTCTGCTCTGATGCTCATCTGCTGGGGATTACTGAGAAATTCTGCAGTTAGTTAATGGGTCAAATAGGTAAAAAAGGAAAATATGTGTATGGTTTTGTTGACATGTGCAGGAGCATTTCAGTCTGTGCTCTGGCACTGGCTCTTGTGGCACGTTCAGCATCCCCTGCTCCCTGTCTCACAGGGTTCCCAGTCCCTTGTTCCCTGTCTCACAGGAACCCCAATCCCCTTTTCCCTGTCTCCTGAGGGTCCCAATCCCCTGCTGTCAGGCTCAGACCCCCAGAGACAGGAGCCCCAGCACCTCTCCAGGGTGGGGCTGGCAGTGGCGCTGAGCGTGGTCAGGAGGTGCCTCGGGATGGGCGTAAAAATCCCTGCAAAGTGTGGTTTGAGTTTTTCCTGCACGCATCAGCAGCACCAGAGGTTAATATAATATTAGCAGGCAGACCTGGATATGAGTAAGTCAGACACCCCTAATAAATGCCTGCTAACTGAAAACACGGACAAATTAGCACATGCTCCATTTCCTTCTAATGATGTGCTTTACTCCGGTCTCAGCTTCCCCCACGTGTGGCAGGCTGTGCCTGGAGTCCTGTGGAGTAGGGACTGGCCACCTCCCTCCACACTGCTCTGAGCCCAGCCTGGTCCTCTGAGCCACCAGGAGTGAGATCCTACGGGCAGGGAGATGCATAATTGATTTATTGGTAACATGATACAGTGCACGGAGCCAGGATCAAGCCAGGATCCCATTAAATACTCGTGGATGTATTCATATTAGTGAGCTCTAAGCCAATCAATTATTTAAATACGCTGGGAATCGTGTCCTGTGATTATTAAAGGGGCTGAGATCATGTTCATTAATAACAAGAATAAATATTGTGGATACTCAGTTCTGTAAGGAAATGATTCAGTGAGTTGTGAAATCCATGCAGGAGCTGCGAGGCTGGGAGGATATGAATATGGATCAACGGGATTATTACACACACACCAGCACCAAGGGACAAAATTAGAGTGTTTAAAATTCCCTGCAAAGACAAAATGTAGAATGTGAAAACTTTTGCAATCATTTATAATAATAAAATTTTGATTAGAAAGGCAGGACCGTGCATAAATTACTGCATCCACCCTCTGGGCCAAACAGTGTGTTGTATCCATGGATTCAGCTGGGAATATTTCGGCTTTGCAGAGAATTTTGGTTTTGCAGCGGACACAGGGGTGCCCAATCCATCCAGAATGCAGGTGGGTGACAGGGCTGAGTGGTGGGCACTCACAGGGGGTCTGGATGCCCAAAATTAACTGGAGGAAGAGGAGGAGGAAGAAGAGACAGTGACTCC